TCGGCTCGAGCATAGAGCCCAAGCGGTTGCGAGCGTTGCGGAGCGGCCGTTCGGCGCGTGTATCGACCGGTGGGCTGCAGTTGGCCACCTACGTGCACCTAATACCCACGTAAAACGCGCAGCGTGCGCCTAGAAAATGCGTTGCGATGATTTCGTGTCGCGCTCGCGCCCGAGGCGGACGCGATATGGCCGCCCTCCCTCTTTCTCTCCTTCTCCCTCATTCTCTTGCTCTCTCTCGCTCGCTCTCTCTCTCTCTCTTTCTCTCCGTTCGATGCGACCGTGACGGCTAACGAACCCTGGACGCGCGCGTATCGTATCGAGCGGTGGCGCGAACGTTCAGGGGCGTATTACGTGTTACCAAGCGGCTTATATCCCGAGCGGTGGACCTCGACAGGGACGACGTTCGGTTTTCGTGCTCGTGCCAGCAGGGGAATCTCCGAATTACCGAGCCCTGGCAAACCTGCGGCGGACTTGCGAATTTCTTCGTGCCAGAAACGGCGATGGTCAATGGAAACGCTGCTCGCTTCTACGGAATATAAGGGATTTTTATTCGAATGCAATTGAAAAGAGCAGATTCGACGCATACGTACGTGCATATTGGATCAATCCTTTGCGGACGAGAATTTTTGAAGTGTCCGAAACCTTCGGTGGAGGGGGTTAAATTATACACTGAACTCCTTAGTACCGAAGGAAGTACTCAAGGAGAAAGAGAATTATACACCAGTCTCCTGTTATTTGAATAATTAAGTCGTTCGCTTGTAACTTTGTATCTTAAATATGGAGGTTTCACTTCAACAAAACGACGATATTCGTCCGTAAAGTGTTAACACGAGCGGATCCCGGTGCTGCGACACACGAATCGCACCAGAGGATCTTACGCCAATGGGAAACACGAACGACTTCCTCTTAGCCGGTTGAGATTTTGTGAACGGTAACCTCTAGGTACGCAAGACGTGAATGAAGCGCGCAAGCGAACCCTTTGACCTAATCTCGTAGATTGTAGATTGCTTTCGCCATTAAGCTTCCGTGCGACGAGCGACATCCTGGTCGCGGCACTTGACAAATACAGGGGTGTGGTACAGTCTGGCACAATAGTTACCGGGTCCTCGGAGTCGTCCCGGGAACCTCCAAATCTCGACGACTCTAACCGACGATCGTGTCTCGTCGAGCGGAATAAGTTAACCATTTGCACTCGGAAGTTTTTCACTAGAAATATTCTAACGCTTTCTGATCAGATAAAGACGATATTTCGTGTAACTAACTCGACGAAATATCACACTATTTTATTTCAATGTTTCTCAAATTATTGAATTATACGACGTGTAATATTAAATATCAAATTTTATACTTCTACTGTATGAAATCGAGTCGTTATTGAGAATCACCTCTCGAGTGCAATGGGTTACATTCGCGTACTCTAAAAACTGTATTTTCACATTTTTATCAAGATCTATTATATACCGATAAAATGTCACTTACTCAAAACGTCAATTGCTCAAGATAAGATTCCTTTTTGTGTAATGGCGTAAGATATGCCAGTGAATAGCGAACGCCTCTGTACGGTAAATGTTGTCTTCGTTACTATTATTGTTAAATGAACGTTTCGTTTTATTTCCGTTCTGTGTGTTACGAGATTTTTCTGCTCGTGGAAGTCAATGAAATACGTGAGCGTGTGTGCGTTTGTACGTGAGGGGTTGCACCAAGGGAGCGGTCGACGGGTGGCAGACGGTTTCATCGATTGGCAATGCGGGGGTAGAAGAGAAGGGTTCGTGAACTCCAACACCTATCTGCACACGTATACCTGTATATATGTATATTTGTGTAAATGTGTATGTATGCACATATGTATATATATATATATATAGTACATAACCTCGCAGTACATATTACCACATAACGTATCGACGACCCCGACGATTTTTCATGGTCACAGCTGAACCGGGGATTTTTCAATATTTCACCTCTCGTGGAACCGATCTTGTCCATCCGCCATCTTTTCTCTCACTCATACACGGCACCGAAACGATCCCCTCCCCCTCCCTGCCGTTCCATAGATCGGACAAGAATATTTCTCGGCGCAATACGAATCGATAAACAGAATTAGTAGAGTACTTATTCGAAAAGTCCTTCTCGTTCGCCTTGAGGCATGCCAACTCGTTCGGGACATGATAAGATGCAAATACACTTCTTCGCGGACTCTCCCTCGACTCGTGATACGACAAAGAAAACATGCGCGCACTTAATTACAGGATAAACGTTGTCTCACATCGGACGTTCTCGCGAAAACCGTTCGCGCGAACTTATCGGGCGAATTGGGGAACTTATTTTGAAACTTTCAAAAAAATCGTTTGCAACCCCCCGATAAACAGCGGTATACATTTGATTTTCATGAGACGCTTCATTGAGACGCGACTTCGAGTATTTAGATTCCGCGATAATGTTTGGAATAACGGTGAATATTTAACAGAAAATTGGAATGTCGATTAAATATTCGGTAGCATCGTAAACGATCGTGTTCACCGCTCGGCAACGAGAAATCCATTTGCGTGGCCAATGCACAGCGGTGTGCATCTGTCAAAACCACGCCCTTGTCCCATCCTTCCTCTCGTCCTAACGAGGTACACACGGAAACCCGGCCGGTAAAGACGCAGCTCACGAAATTTGACGGGGCCATTTCCTCGAAGCTCGAATTTACTTTAGTTTCTCGATTCAGCGAAATACACGATTGTAAGTTCCAATGGAATCTGTCATCGTGACTTTCGGTTCTAGCCCGCACGCCAAAATTTGTTTACTTTCGCGAGCAAGAGTGAGCAGAGATACTGTCCGTCAATTTCCCGAGGAAATCGATTTCATCGCTCGAACAATCGTACCGGTCGACTATCGCGAACTGCAGAGCGGAACGAGGAAATACGAATATCGAATTCTCGAAATTTACCGATGCCCGTGTTCCTTGTGTGGACAGTACTCAACGAACGAATTTCTCCGCAAACTTTATTTTCCGAATTCGGTTTCTAAAAACAGGAATTAACGTACACGCGGGTAACGAGAAATCTGTTAGGGTCGACGCAAGATTCGGGATACGCACAGTGATTTGACCACACCCCACCATTTTCGATCCTCGAATATAGAAGTCGATCAATAATCGAGACAAGAGCGTGCCGTGGTGCCGGTCGATTCGCTGGTCGACGAAGTGTATATACGCGAAGAAAACGAGCAACGAACGAATCGATATGCAGTGGTAGTCTGAATGAAGTGTGTTCGCGACGTTGGAATCACATACGCACATGTTGAGAACACGCAGTCAAGTGTTAAGGAGCAGATATAC